GGGAGGGGGATACAGTAGGGGCAGGGCCAGGGGGTGAGGGCAGGGGTGCCCCTCTGCAGGCAAGCGATGTGGGGCACAGTGTGGTAGTGCCTGCTGTGTGCAGGCTGCACATATGCTGCCCAGCCGCCTACCCAGGGAAGGGGGAGAGGGAGGCTCGCATGTGGCCAGAGCACAGCTCCGTGGCTGGTTCTGCAGCTATGGCAAGGGATGGGGGGGGAAAGAGGGGGGGCTCGTACATGGCAGCTGCTGCCACTTACCTGGAGGCCCATGATGGCAGTGACGGCCACTGCCTACAAAACCTCCAGCTGCCACCGTGGAGCCGTGCCCGGAGCTGTGCGGCTGGCCGCTGGGCGGCAGCATGGTGGTGGCCTGTCGGCACGTAGCCATCCCCACCACAACTCCGTGACACACTGCTGCTGCCGGCCACACAGCTCTGAGAATAGCTCCACAGGGCCACTGGGACGTTTTGTAAGCAGCAACAGTCACCGCCGTCATAGGCGGCCGCTGCCGCTTACCTGTGCAGCCGCCTGTGGCAGTGGTGATGGCCACTGTGCACGAAAACTCCTGCTGCCGCCACGGAGCCATGCCCAGAATTGAGTGGCCAGCAGCGGTGGTGGTGGTGGCTGGGCAGCACGCAGCCATTCCCATCCACACCAACACCCCACGCTGCGCCGCTGCCACCAGCCATACAACTCCAGGCACAGCTCTGCAGGGGCAGCAGGAGGTTTTGTATGCAGCGGCAGTCACCGCTGGCACAGGCAACCCCACAGGTAAACAGCAGCAGCCGCCCATGCCATCAGTGACTGCCGTTGCCTACAAAATCTCCCGCTGCCACCACAGAGCCATGCTCAGAGCTGTGCAGCCGGTGGCAGCAGCGCTAGGTGGTGGTGGGGATGGCTGCGTGCCGCCCGGCCACCACCATGCTGCTGCTTCCGCCCAGCGGCCAGCTGCACAGCTCCAGACACAGCTCCATGGCAGCAGCAAGCGGTTTTGTAGGCAGCAGCCATCACCACCATCACGGGCCTCCAAATAAGTAGCAGCAGCCACCATGTGCTACACCCCCACACCCGAGCCCACACCCCCACACTCCCATCCCTCACTGTGGCTGCAGAGCTGACCACAGAGCCATGCTCTGGCTGCATTCCAGCCTCCCTCTCCCCCACCCCTGGGCAGGCAGCTGGGTGGCATGTGTGCGGCCCGCACATGGCAGGCACCACCACGCTGCACCTCACATTGCTTACCCACAAAGCCCCTTGCGGAGGGACACCCCTGCCTTCATCCTCTGGCCCTGCTCCCAGCTGCAATGTGCTGCCCAAAGCCGGCAGCACCCCCCACTCCCTCAGCCCTCAACCTCAGTCCTTGTTGAAGGACCGGGCAATGGGGGCAGAGCAGCAGCCATGTAGAAAGGCAGGCAAGATAGATTTGCACCTTATAGACTAACCAAAGCATATACAGATATTTACATAGGCAGATCTAGGGTTTTGAAAAGGGTGCAGATGGTAGGGTGCATCATTGCATATCACACAATACATATTTTTTTCCAGCTAAAAAGCCAGATTTACGCATATGCTAGGGGCCTAGGTAGTGTTATTCCATTTCAGAGCAAAGCAAAAAGAAATATAAATTAATTAGAAAGTGCATTCATTTGCTCTCTTGTACATTTTGTATAAGAAATAGAATACGCCAGGCAAAAATAATAATAATGAAATTGTTATTTTAGTCCTGTGGTCATTAATCGCTTTCAGATTCATACAACAAAATCGAGCTTTCTGGAGCATCTTCCCAGCACTTCACTGAAAGTTATCTCCACACCTGAGTCGATGTTTGCCTGAGTTGTTTCTATGCTTGAGTTAAATGTTTTTAACTAGATCATGATGAACCATGAAGAGACTCCCTGACTGCTGCCTGAATAGAAATGCTGCTGCCACTGCCAGACTGTTTGTTTTAAACTTTGGATGGACCAGCAAAGTGGTGGGGAAAGGTGGGGACCGCTGGCCAACACTGCATGCCCTGCCCATTCTGGATATGTAGATAGATATGATCAACCTGATTTCTTCTAAACTCTCCATGCCATAGGTGCTAACAACCCTCTCTCCTTTTTAAAGATATTAACCTTCCCCTAAGCAAGCTAACCTTCCTTCTGCAATTTTGCTGTCTCCTACTGCCCTGCTACCCATTACATCTACTATAAAATTCATAGATTGTAAGGCGCTGGAAGGGTTCAGTCCCCCCACCCTCGACAGGAAAGATAACTGGGGTCAGGTGACCCCAACGAGGTGAACATCAAGTTTCCTCTTGAAGTTTTCCAGGTTAGGTGACTGCTCACCTCTGGAGGGAGCTTATTCCACAGTCTGGCCACCCTGACTCTGAAGAAGTTTATATTAGTGCTAAGCCTAAAATGGTCTTCCAGGAGTTTGTGGCCATTACTCCTAGTTTTCCCCAAGGGTGCCCTGATGAACAGTTGTTCACCGAGCCCTTGATGTTCTCCCCTGATGTAGTGGTAAGCTGCTACCAAGTCCGCTCTCAGTCTTCTCTTTTTTTAGGCTGAAGAGGGCCAAGTCCCTCAGTCTTGCCTTGCAAGTCTCTGATCATATGGGTGGCTCTTCTCTGGACTCTCTCAAGCTTTCCCACCTCCTTGCTGAAGTGTGGTGCCCAGAATTGGATGCAGTACTCCAGCTGCACAATGCTGAGTAAAGCAGAAGAAACACTTCCTTGGTTTTGCTCGAGATGCATTGGTTGATGCATAACAGAGGACTGTTTGCTCTGCTGGCTGCAGCATCACACTGACGGCTTATGTTCATACTATGGTTTATTATTACCCCAAGGTCCCTTTCAGTCGTGGTGCTAGTCAGTTTGGTGCCACTGAGCCTGCAAGTATGTTGGGGATTGCTCATCCCCAGATGTTACATGGGGTAATATATTTAGACCAGCCACACGTGCAAAGTAATTATCACATGATAAAAAAATGCCCTTCCAGCTCTGAAAAGAGCTGACCAGCTACAAACTTAATGCTTGAAAATGTGTGACAAACTCTATAGCTCGTTTCTACCCAGTTTTAATTTGAATGTGTGGCAGGGCCCTTAGTTCCACTTGGTTATGCAGCTCATATTTCATATCTACCTATATACCCAGGGACAGATGGGGGAAGGGAGTATAGATAGATATGCTTACATCTAGATCCATAGATATGTCTATATGTATGTATATTTCAGGCAGAAATGAATCTGGGCTTGCGCTTCTCTCCTCAAATGGACTTAGACCTCTTAATGCTGTGTGGCACCCTTTGCAAGATCTCTCAGCACCCCAGGCCGGTGCCCTGGCTGAGAACCACTGGCTGACAGTGACTTGGGTGCCTGCGAGAAGGGGCTGGGGGAAGTGGGAAGCCCTGTGGAGACAGGCGATGGGGAGCTGAAGGGACACTGGGAAGGCGGGGAGGAGAAAGGGGGAGAGAGAGACGGGGGAGACCAGGGGAAGTGGAAGGAAGAAAAAGGGAGGGAGGCAGAGAGGAAGAGGAGGCACAAGGAGAAAGTGGGGAAAGGAGGGGGGGAGAGAAAGAGCAGGGGGAAGAGGGGAGGCAGTGAGAGAGGGGGGAAGGGGGAAGAGGAGATGGGGGAGAGGAATGAAGAGGGGGAATGGAGGGGGAAAAGGGGAGAGGAAGAGAGAGAGGGAGAAGAAAGGGAGGGGAGGGCAAGGAGGACGGGAGGCGGAGAGGAGCCCCGCGGGCGCTCCCGGGCCGCCGCAGGTACCTTTGCCGGCGCCGTCGGTGACCGCG